AGCTCCCCGTTAGAGTGCACTGCTGTGGGGCAGAAAGCGTGGGCACCCCGCGGCCTCACCTACCTGGTAGGGGCCCTGGTTGCAGCCACAGTAGCTACTCTCCATGGTGTAGCTCCTGACCACCCCCATCTCTCTCCACACCACGACCCGGGCGGTGGAGGCACGAGATTTCTCCACTAGGAAACTGCAGCTGCTCATGGTGAAGGCGGGGGCGAGCTGGTCCAGGATTCTGGGAAGAGTCTACAGTAAAAAATATATATATATTAATAATAATAAATAAATGGCGATGAGCTGCAGGTGGTTGCGGGTAAGCATCGTAAAAACTGATGTCTCAACATCTCTTTCGCATCTCAATATGCCAAACAGAGAATGTATGCTGCTACGAATTCTGTATCAACCCTGAGAAATGGACATTATTTTTTTTTAATTGATGTCAGAGAGGAAGGGAGAGGGAGAGAGAGAGAGAAACATCCATGATGAGAGAGAATCATGGATCGGCTGCCTCCTGCACGCCCCCTGCTGGGGGATGGAGCCCGCAAGCTGGGCATGTACCCTTGACCGGAATTGAACCTGGGACCCTTCAGTCCGCAGGCCGATGCTCTATCCACTGAGCCACACCAGCCAGGGCTGGACACCATTTTCAAAGTCATTTTAAAGATGAGGCGATGGAGGCTTCGAGTTCTTCTTTCTTTTCTTCATCTAACTAAAGGGTGGTCACGTCTGCTAACTATTTCCAGAAGCCAAACATGGGTGCATTGATTCTCTACTGTTGGTATATTTTTGTTGTATAGATTTCATTTGAGCTTTTTTTTTTTTTCTTTCTATCAAGATAGGCCACTTCAGCTCTAGCCGGTTTGGCTCAGTAGATAGAGCATCGGCCTGCAGACAGAAGGGTCCCGGGTTCGATTCCAGTCAAGGGCACATGCCGGGGTTGCGGGCTCGATCCTTAGTGTGGGGCGTGCAAGAGGCAACGGAGCCATGATTCTCTCTCAACCCTGATGCTTCTAGCTCTCTCTCTCTTGCTCTCGCTCTCCCTTCCTCTCTGAAATCAATAAAAATATATTTTTTTAAAAAGGAAAGACAGGCCACTTCAAACCTACCCTGTAGCTGACATCTTCCAAGACAGGGGGTGCGCCCACGGCAGACTCCGCCTGCCACAGGGTCTCCTTGATGCTGCAGCCGTAGACAAACACGTTCTTCTTCTGGGAGTGGCCGTGGAAGTCACAGAAGACCTACAACGGCCAAGCGAAGGAAGCGGTAAACCCAGGGCACATCTACTGGTGTCTTAAACGTTTAACCTGTCAACTTTTCTCCGGTCGATACTGTTTAGGTAGCAGGACCAGGCATATTAACATCCGTTTTGTTTTTTTACTTCAAAATAAGATATGTGCAGTGTGCATAGGAATTTGTTCATAGTTTTTTTTTTAAACTATAGTCCGGCCCTCCACCGGTCTGAGGGACAGTGAACTGGCCTCCTGTTTAAAAAGTTTGAGGACCCCTGGTTTAACGTGTCAACTTTTCTCCGGTCGATACTGTTTAGGTAGCAGAACCAGGCACATTAACATCACCGGCGACGTCCGTAAGAGTTGTACTGGTCAAGACCTTGGGGGAACAGTTAGATTGGAAGGGGTTTAGCATTGAAGAAGGTATGAGGGAATACACTGTGGTGGGAGAGGACACAGGGTTAAAACGAGAAGAGGGAATAGGAACAAAAGCTTTTAAAAAAAATGATGAGAGTCCTGGCCAGTTTGGCTCAGTGGATAGAGCGTCGGCCTGCGGACTGGAGGGTCCCAGGTTCGATTCCGGTCAAGGGCATGTACCTTGGTTGTGGGCACATCCCCAGTAGGGGGCATGCCGGAGGCAGCTGATCGATGTTTCTCTCTCATCGATGTTTCTAACTCTCTATCCCTCTCCCTTCCTCTCTGCGAAAAATCAATAAAATATATTTTTTTAAAAAATTATAAAAGCCCAGCCGGCGTGGCGCAGTGGTTGAATGTCGACCTATGAACCAGGAGGTCATGGTTGGATTCCTGGTCAGGGCACGTGCCCGGGTTGCAGGCTCCATCCCCAGTAGGGGGCGTGCAGGAGGCAGCTGATCCGTGATTCTCTCTCGTCATTGATGTTTCTCTCCCTCTCTCTGAAATCAATAAAATTAAAAAAAACACCACACACCACACACCACACACACACACACATACACACACACAAATTGTTTGAGGAATAATTCTCCACCAACCTTCCTCTCTTACCCCTAAGTTCCTCTCCATGAATTGAACACCTACCATTCACAGCAAAAGTGTGCAAACAAATCAAGACTGTTTCTTAGCAACAGATTTCTCAAGGAAGCTGGAAACTATGCCTATATGCTGACAGGTGCTCCTTTAAGGCTGAACTCAAACGGAAAAAAAGAGTTTTTTGTGTGTGTGTTTTCCCCATCCTCACAGACGCTGAGAGCCGAGATAAACGACAAATGACAGGCCTATTTGCCCGCGGGAGAGACCACCCCTCTGCCCAGGCAGTTCTACCGCCTCTGGAGAGGGAGATGTTGTTCTACGTGCGGATCAGATGACATTCTCTAAAATAAGTGCTTGTTAATTATAACAAACATGTGTTCCTCTGCATAGAAGGGGGCAATTACAAGACAAATTACCAAGTTATTTCTGGGGAGAACGCTTTTTTCTTTCCTACTGGAAGGTGGAACACATATTTCCTTTCTGTGAAATTCTGTGCCAGGGACATCGAACGTGAGCAGTCCAATATCCACAGGTGAACCGATGATCTTAGGTGGCTCATTCATCAACTGGTTCAACAAATATATTTTTTTAAATATACTTTTTATTGACTTCAGAGAGGAAAGGGGAGGGAGGGGGGTAGTAGAGAAAGAGAGAGAGAGAGAGAGAGAGGGAGACATCAATATGAGAGAGAATCATGGATCGGCTGCCTCCTGCACGCCCCCTACTGGGGATCGAGCCCGCAACCCGGGCATGTGCCCTGACCGGGAATCAACCATGACCTCCTGGTTCATAGGTCGATGCTCACTCACGGAGCCATGCTGGCTGGGCAGTTCAACAAGTATTTATTGTATCCCTGTTTTGTGGCAGAAAAAAATTAAAATTGGAATATAACATATTTCTGCCCTTGATACTACTGGCAATAATAGTTACTAGGTGTACCGGTTAATATTGAGGATTTTTTTCACTAGATGGAGTTACACATATGTGTCTACAACCTTTTGCTTCCATTTGTACATCTACTCTAATCTCCTGCCTTCCTCTTAGGAGGATCCTGTGATTACATTGGACCCAGGATCATCTCCATCTCAAGGTCCTTAACCTCATCCAGTCTGTAAAGTCCCTTTGCCACGTAAAGTGACATCACAGATTCCAGGGATTAGGACGAGGAGGATATCGTTAGGAGCCTTGATTCAGCTGACCCCAGGTTCAATCAGAGAATCGGCGTTGCTAGGAGAGTGGTATATGGATAAGAAATTTGCTACAGGAATTGACTGATCTTCAGGAAGGGAAGATGGGTGTGCAGTGGGACAGCAGGGACAAGCTGGAACCCCTGAGGAAGGACTGGAGCTCTAACAGCCCCCACTACCCTTGGCCTTGAAGAAAGGGCTGTCCTTCGAGAGAAGCTGATGACCTTGGTCCCATTGTATAGGTCTTCATGAGTGATCATGTGTTTCTGAGTAATGGTAAGTGCTGTTTTTCTTTTTTTTTTTTTAATATTTTTTTTTGATTTTTTACAGAGGGGAAGGGAGAGAGATAGAGAGTTAGAAACATCGATGAGAGAGAAACATCGATCAGCTGCCTCCTGCACATCTCCCACTGGGGATGTGCCCGCAACCCAGGTACATGCCCTTGACCGGAATCGAACCTGGGACCTTTCAGTCCGCAGGCCGACGCTCTATCCACTGAGCCAAACCGGTTTCGGCGGGAAGATTTTAAAGGAAGGAAAATGGGTGCTTCATCAAGTGAACGAAAGACAAATAGAAAACCGAAAAGTCATCTGTAAAATGTTGCTTCAAAGGCACGAGAAAAAGTCCTTTTTGCATCAAATTGTGACTGGCGATGAAACATGGATTTATTTTGAGAATCCCAAACGCACAAAATCATGGGTTGATCCAGGTCAACCATCAACATCGCCTGCAAGGCCAAATCGCTTCGGATAGAAGACAATGCTCTGCATTTGGTGGGATCAGGAAGGTGTGGTGTATCATGAGCTTCTAAAAACAGGCAAAACCGTCAATACTGATCGCTACCGACAAGAAATGATCAATTTGAACCAGGCTTTGATCGTAAAATGGCCAGAATGGGCCAGAAGACACGACAAAGTAATTTTGCTTCATGAAGACGCACCATCACACACTTCAGAACCAGCTAAAGACACGTTAAAAGATCTTGCCTGGGAAGTATTAAGCATAAAAATATCTGTGATGTTAACACCTTCAGCAAATTTGGCATATGAAGTTTTGAAGCTTGCTGTCAATACAACAAAATAGCATATATATCAACATATGTGTAACTCCGTCTACTGGAAAAAATCCGCATTAGTAACCGGTACACCTAGTACTCGATGGGAGATTTATGATACTTTCTTTACTGTGCTAAAAACTTCATATAGATGATCTCATAAAGAAGTGGGTGCTGCACGCATCCCCATTGAGTAGCTGAGAAAAACTGAATTTCAGCCCTAACCGGTTTGGCTCAGTGGATAGAGCGTTGGCCTGCGGACTCAAGGGTCCCAGGTTCGATTCCAGTCAAGGGCATGTACCTGGGTTGCGGGCACATCCCCAGTGGGAGATGTGCAGGAGGCAGCTGATCGATGTTTCTCTCTCATCGATGTTTCTAACTCTCTATCCCTCTCCCTTCCTCTCTGTAAAAAATCAATAAAATATATTTAAAAAAA